CTAAAAAAAATGTATTTACATTTTCCACTTAAGGGACGTAATAATCATTATCTTAAGTTGTATGCAGCAAATAAAACATTTAATATTTTGTAATGATTATAAGTGAAAATTATTCTTGTACGAAATATTATGCACTTAAATAATTTTCTTTCTTTTACATTTTCCTTTTGAATTGATCAACAGACGAAAAAAAAAGTAAAACGAGTTTTTCAATAAAGAAAAAGCTAAGCCCTTATTGTTATGCTTTCTATGAGATATTCAAATTAGGAGGAAGTAGAAAGAGGGATATCCTTATCGTTATGAAAAAATAAATTATTCAGTGAAAAGCTTAGTTCACACAAGATCATACGAAAATGCTTTTGCAAAATCTCGTATTCTCGACCAGAATATCTCGCATGGAGAAATTTATACATATATTTATATTCCAATATTTTAAAATTGTATTGTCCGGGGCAGTCATTTTTTTTTCTTCACGCTTTTCCACGTTTCTTCACGAGTTTTTATCTGCTGCTCCATAAAATAAAAAAATTTCTCCCCCTTCATGCTTCCTCTCTTGCACCCACAAAATTTATTCCACTTCTCTACGCCCCCCTCCCCACTTGGTGTTTTTGAAAAAGTTATATTTAATAAAACTGATTAATAGATTCATAGTAAGTAGATAATATGACAATGAATAATAATAAGAAATAATCTTATAACTACTTTAGAGCACATATAAAAACATAATACTTATCAATCAAATAATGAAAGAATTGTATTCAGTTTTATCTTGTTATTTTAGTACTTTAAACTTAATTGATTGTTAAGTGCATAAAAAATATTTATAATATAAGTAATACATATGTGTAAGAAAAAAGTATATTTCGACCTTTGAGGTTAAGTAACTTTGAAAGAAAATAATATATTTGATATTTGTACGAATTATTGCATTAATTTATATTTTTTTAGATCCTACTTAGTTGCAATCAGAATTCTATTTGCAAATCAATTTGTTATAAGAATAGTAACTTTAAGCATGTAAATAAATTGTCAACGTTCACTCCACTATACATTAGCGTGATCGCAATGTTGGTAGTTGTTATTCATACAAAATAAATGTTTTTCTCTTCTTACTGTTTTTTCTTTGCCAATTGATACACTTTTGATACTAACAGTAAGATTGTCACTAAAAAATTTGATTAAAAGAACAATAAAAGCTAAATTACCTTGTGCCTTATGCACTGCACTAAGGCAGTCTTGCGTAACATGACAAAACTAGAGATGATACCGGAAAAATTATTTTTTAGTTAAAATTTTTCTAGAATATTTGTATTTTTANCTAAATTTTTCTAAGTATTCACCAACTTTATGGAAACTTTGATCTTGTGATTTATTTATAATTTTGAAAATAATAAAACAAGAGGAAGTTGTTTTCTGAATTGAGTGAATGACATGAAAGACGTGTATTCTAAGTTATTTTTCTATCAGAACTTAAGTCCTAATTTTTTTCCAGTAATGATTCCTTTTTAAAGATAGTACTTGAATAACTTGTTGACTCTTAATCACCTTCTATTACAAAAACCATGAGATATACTTAAACTTCTTATCAATATTACTATTGCACTTTTTTCTAAAGACTTGTCTAGAGACCTTTAAAACTATTAAAAATTTCTACATGAAAGGTTATATAAATGTTTTTCTTACTTTTATCTACTTTTTTATAAGTAGCACTGTCGATAGTATAATATACAGTTGTTGTTCCAGAGATCTAATTTAATAGTTTGGTATTGAAAAAATAAGCGTAATCATTGCGTGATGTTAAAATAACGTTATGTATCGGTCAACTTTTTTAACTATCAAAAATATCTAAACAAACGTCCTGGGTTATTGATTATAAATATATTGATATACACAGACGTCAGAAGGATCCCTAGGACGCACCTAATCCATCCATCTTTTCGGCGAACATAACATACTTAAGTATAGAATCAAAATCATCGATAGCTTCTTGACTAACGGAACCTTTGCAGTAAGAGTTAATAACGAACATAATGTAGAACTTAATGTTGACATAAAATCGTATGGGTGGCGAGGGGGCAGGAGGGAAAGGAAAAGTTCAAAAAACGTATAAAATAATTAAACATGATCACAAAAAGTTCAACTTTTTTATAGTTTTACGACTGTCGCATGGAGGGGTAAGAGAAAACATGCTATACATAGCTTCATTTGATAAAATGGTGTAGTTTAGAATATTTTAGAAGCTAATCTTCCAATTTTGGCTACACTGCTGTTCAAGCGTTAGGGTAATTTCCTATTTTTACCAATTTTTTATTTGTCGTGATTGAGCATCGGGAGTCATTGGGTTAAATCCCTATTCCTAGCCCCTTGTCGTTTTTACCTAGGACAGTTTTTATTTAGGGTTTTAATGTTTAGTATTGTATTTACTTTGTTTTCTTGTAGTTTAACTTTCTTATTTTTGCCTGGAAAATTTCATCTTGACTGCTGGTAATAAGATGATGCATAGGTATATCGTGTTTCAAATGTTTGTAATATTTGTATTTAATTCTCTACAGTACATCTTCTGCTTTAAGCGTTGTAATATATTATATTGATTTTTCTTGGATGTTCAACTACACCTTACTTTTGTGTTTTTGTAGGATTTTTTTAAGGTAGGGTATGTTTGTATTTTTGTGTACTTCAGATTCATTTGTTCTTTTGAGGAGATCGTGTAATCGTCTTTAGGCATTTGTATTAAAATTTTTGGAGTTTTGATAGATTGGTGCCAAAGATTTCGTTGCTTCAAACCGGAAAAATATATAGCATTACTAGTCAGATGATGGTTTTATATGTTACAATTTATTTTTGGTTAATATTTTGCTTTTTTCCGTAGAATAGGGATAAGAGCTGTAATTACTTTGTTAACTTTAGGACTATTTTTTCATATGGTTGTTAAAGATTAACTTGTCATCTTGTGTGACTCCTAGATGCTTGACTAATTTCCTGATTGTGATTTAATTGTTCAATACTGTGATTTGGCTGTGTGATTTTTGGAGATGAGGCTTGGAATTTTTGCTAAAAATGATACACTTGGTTATTGCTGAATTTATCTTAGTTTGAGTTTCTTTATAGAAGTCTAGCAGTAGTGTGTAATGCTGCTGTAGGCATTTTAATGTTTTATCTTTTCAGGAGTGGCTGTAGAAGAGTGTGTCGTCGGTAAATCGACCGTACTTAATGTCGAGGTCGTATAGGATGTAAGAGGATCAACGATTATAGAAGTAAGTTAGGTTAAGAAAAATTAAAACTTAAAAATTCATACAACCAATGGTATACAAGCGAATGTTGATACATCTAAATCATTGTATCAAGAGGTGGATATGCATAGATGGCGGCACTTTTAATACAAGCACTCTATATCCTCCATACATGCCCTTTTTTCTCAATATCCAAAATACTCAAGACTCATAATATCAAACCACATTAATTCTTCTTCAAGAAAATTTTCTTAACAAATAAATACGAATGAGAAAAATATCCTCCTCGGGTGTGGATCGAACACACAACCTCCTGTTTACCGGACCGTTGCTCTATCACTTAAGCTACCGAGGAGCTGTACATTCACTTGCACCGTAAGCTTAGATAAGTTTCTTATTCTTAATTTTCAGAGCTGTTTTTCATCAAAGCCCGATAAAGTTATGTGACTTATGAGTTATGTGACTCTAATGCTTGTCGGTAAATTAGAAATTCATACGACTAATAGTGTACAAGCGAATGTTGATACATAAAAATCATTGATACATACATACAATCATTGATGAGAAATAAATTCGTTTTTCTCGAGACTAAAAATTCCGATTGATACCATCAAAATTTTTGCTTTCGTTAATAAATTGGTAACAAAGCAAAAATAAACAGACTAATGTATGACAAAAAGATTTATAAGAACATGAGATAAAAAAACGAACAAAATATGATACTTTTCAATCACGTTAGACAGAAATTCGTACAGTAGGTCAATGTCATTTAAACATATGAGACACTAACACCAATTCATACGTATTACTTGGTGAAACTAAATACCAAATCAAAGATTTCAAAGTAAAGTAAGTAAGAGGAGATAAGGCCTCTGGGTCAATGACTGACTCCTAACGAACAAAAATTAAATTCAGTCGTTTGTTGAACGAATCTACGAGTTCTACTTTTTATTTTGAAGTTTAGACGTAACAAAAGTATCTCAATTGGATGAATATATATAATATAAATATATACCTTTAAGTTGACACAATGAGATTGGATAAAATATGTGTGAACTTATACGTGCTATTTTTTAAATTGATGGTTATTTTATGATTTTGTAAATAACATGATCTAATTCTTACTTTGGAAATGATATTTAATTTTTTTAATTTAAACTTATTTTTATAATAATAATTTTATTGCAAAAAAATAAAAATATTGTTTGGTAAGATTTGAATATAAGAGCAGCTTAAAAAAAAAACGTAAAAAGTATACAAACTTTTAAATACAAACAGTGTTATAATATAATTAAAAAAGGAAATTNNNAAAAAAAAAAAAAAAAAAATGTAATTGAAATACAGATTTCACAAGATATTCAAGATTAAATAAACATACAAGAACTCATTTAATTCATCAGTAGTAACTGTAAATAAATTTTCAATCGTCTAGTCAGTTTAAAAATACGTAATAAATTACATGATTAAGAATAAATATCGTTTTTCTTACTCTTATGTATTTTAAATGAAATGAATTTGAACAAATAAATATCGTCAGAAAATTAAAACATCTACTTTTTTGGTTAATGCAGATATAGAGTTATACACAGCTGCACCAATAACTTTTAACAAAAATTTTAAAGGAGCTTGGAAGTTACCAATAAGCATTAAATTTTTCTTCTTTACAATTTCAAGATATGTTTACCAACCTATTTTGCAATTTATCACCAAGCAATTCACACACTCATTAAATTATAATTTTATGTTATTAGTTAAATATATTTTACTCACTTTCAGAGGCAGCTTGAAAAATAAATTCCAAATTTATTAGGTATTTTACGAAAAGTAGCTTAAGATAATTCATCCATGCAGTAACTTACAATTAAACACATAAATTATACAATTACACAAAATATATTGTGTGTTGTATTTTTAAATATAAAACATTAATTATAACGTAGTAATCAATACGTACTGTAAATTCTCCAGTAACAGCATCAAATCCCACGTGTACTGTGTGTTCAAAATTAGTAGGGTAGCTGATATTAGGCTTGTCTTTATTATCCTTTGTTTTCATTTTACTTCTACTATTTTTTTTCTTTCGGTCATCAACGTCAGGTTCTTTCGGTAATGGACGCATATCTACAGGGATGCTAGAAACGGACTCGCTTCTGGAAATAGAAAAGGCATTTGATAATGTATTTAAATCTTTCACTGCATAACTCAAAGAAATCTCGTAAGTTAATTAACGTTAGAAAATTTTTAAGCTTATCAGACTGAGGAACTATAACTAAAAGTATCTCCGAACTAAATAATTTTTATTAAGGTGGTAAGTGCTGTAGAAAAAAGTCTCAACATATCAATGCTAACGAAAAGTTATCTTCGTAACAAGTAGTACTTAGTCGGAAGACATATATTAGAAAACAAAAGATAATTAATTTTACTTAATCAAGCGTAACCCCCTCGCAATCCCATCCCATAAATACCCGGACAGTATATCTATTTATGTATAATGGTCCGCTCTAACCCCATTCTTTCCTTAATGTAAAACCCGAGATTCAATGATAAAAATCATATTGACGATAGTAAAAAATAAAAAAAAACGTATTTTAATATGCCAAGAGAGTTTAATGTTACATAAAGAGATTTTTTTGTATTAGGATTCAGGCAGAAGAACGCACAATACTGTTTTTATAACTTTGAGTTAAAAGTTACGACAGTATGTATAAAGTAATGATCATCCTGCATAACTCGATAAGATGTAAGGAGTGATCAATTATCACGGGTGGACCAAATAAAAACGTTAATAATTAAATAGATTTTTTTTTAAAAGCAACGGTTCGATTGCCATATTTTCCAGCCTCATCACGCTAATTTTATTAACTCTAACCAATACTCAAAAACTATATAAAGTATCAATACATAAAAAATACATGAAAAAGTTACCTATACAAAGAATAAATAATTTTCAACGAAATGACACAATAAACATTTTGAGTGCAAAATCACTCGTGTCAACTAGATCATATGCCCAGTGAGATAATTAAATAGTATCTGATTTAACAGTGTGCTCATGTGTCTTATACATAGGTAGTACTCAAAAATTCAATATTTGTTATCTTTCAAAATTTGATACAAAGGTGAATAAACTTTACTTAACAAATCAACGTCCTCTGTCATGTTAAGCGCATTGTCCGTTAGACTAATATATACTATTTTGGATATTATTCTTTTTCGAAACTTAGACTCTCTATCAGAGATTATAATTAAATTTTAGTTGGAGTCATAAAAAAATTAAGGCTATGGTCAGACACTACTAAATATTGTTTATACATGTTTTCATGTTTTTAACATGACGCGTTAATACTCTTTGTGTTTCACTAGTGTACTCAAGGGACTGTCAAGGCAAGAAAACTTATAGATAATCTCTTATACTATCAAGAGTTCTCGTTTTGTATTTACCTAACTGTATAAACTTATTAAAAGATTTTTCAGTTGAAGGAAAAATGATAACGTTGTATGACTTTAAAACAATTTTTACATTTTTTCAAGAAGTTATTATTTAACAACCTAACTGATATAGTAAATTTTAACGTTGTGCCCTTAAATAAATCATTTTAACTAGATTTTTTTCATGAAAATGAAATTCTGTATTTTAGCTTTGTTTACGAAAGATATCAAGTAATTACCCTCAAGCAGTCCTTGTCTTAATATTAAAATGTTGATATTACAAAAGGATTAGTGTGATGACAAAGCGGCACTATTATTTAAGTTGTAAATTACATTATCTTGTAAGTATAGCGGGAAAAAAATTCAGTGTTTAGGTTGTGAATGTTTCCTTATTATACCCGTTGGTGGTGATCTGTGTGTGTTTTTATTGTTAAAGTTATGCCCAAAAAACTAATACTATTGTTATTTTGGAATTCATGTGTAAATATTACATTTTTATTCAATTATTACAAATGCTTAAAAGTTTTTGAATAAGCTTTTTATGAATGTAAATTACAGTGTCATCTACGTAACAAAAATGTAAAAAGGGCGAACAATCATATTTACGTATTCATTCTATAAGAAAAATTATTTCGCAACACGTCATTAGATCTACAAATAGCAAGGAAATAGATGATTCTCTAGGGTATGCCACAAGATTGCTGGTAGAAAGTATCAATAAAAAACAAAATATTTGTGCAGTCACTGATAGTTTTTAGTAGAATCTTGTAATTTTTATTAATACAAGAGTATCTTCTGTTTATGCTATCAAGGACTAGATTGCATGGAATATTGTCAATAAAGACGTGACGTCAAGAGACATTTAAATGAATTTATGAAGGCTTATATTTCAATTTTTTTCTATTTGTTGTAAGTTATTATCTATATGAGAGACTGTTTGGAAAAGATACTATTATAAAATATTTTAGGTAGGAAATATGTAGAAATATTGACAGTTGAAATAATTTGTCAAAAAGGAAAATCAACCTTGTAGATTTTGGAAGTGCATAGGCTTTACATGCTACTGTATTGGTTTGGGTAATTTATAAATTTGTTAATTTTCTTGCCAAGACGTTTCAGTCATTAAGCAATTGTAAAATTTTATGTGTATCTTTTTGGAATTGAGTAAGAGGATTTTGTTTAACTGTTGTTTAAGTATTAGTATCGTTAAGTAATTTAAACATTTTGGTATGGTATTCACCTTTATCTATGAAAACAGTGATACACCCTACATCTGCTCGTCTAAAAAATGTATGAGGATTACTTTTAAGAAACAAAGATTCACATGACTTACATGAGTGGAAAGATAGATTTAACCAATTCCACTGAAAAAAAAAAAATACGCAGAAATGTCAATATTGAGTTATTCAGATACAAAGAGTTAGAATGCTTGTATTTAAACAAAAAAAACTACAGTCTGGAGCACATAAAATATTCTACTGATAAGTCCCCAGTCTCTCAATAATAACAACGTTTCAAAATATTGTTTTTTATTTACTTTTCAACATAATCTGTGAAAAGGCTATTACATTGTTATATCGATGGTCTAATTTGGACCATCTTTGTAGTGCGATTTATTAAAATCCTTAAAAATCTTTTTACTGCGTCGGTGACACGTTGCTGTAAGATCTTGTCCTGTAAGAGATTTTTTTAAGTTAGGAAACAGGTGGTCATCATTGGATGCTATATCTGGCAATCATGGTAGATGTCCATGAACTTAAATACGTAAATTTTTTCCTATACAATGAGTGAACGATGGGCTGGAGCATTGTTACGATGCTAACAAAACTGACTTTACCTTTTTTAGAGTAGGCTGACTGGAGTTTGGTAATCCATCCAAGTTTCATTTATAGTAACAAGCCATCTCAAAACTTTACTGCAATTTTTACGGTAGAGTTTTAACTTCTTAATATCAACCATTTTTCTATGTAGTTATTGATTAGGTATTAACTAACAAATGTGGTAATCACCTTGCACAGACTGCTCTTTTAATATGTTTACAACCTTATGTATCTGAAACAACTTTAATTTACGATCTTTCAGGACAAAGTAATGAATTTTTTCAATTATTCTTGGTGTGATCACCTATCCACTGTATGAATTGCTGCTAGCAACCTCTGGTGGTTCCAAACGGGGTAAGTTTTCAGGAAAATCATGTAGGTCTGTATATAAAGTAGGCAAAAACTGTACAACTCATTTAGCTAAAATCCTAAAGTCAAAGCATACTGTTGACTATCAGTATTGGTAAAAGTTGTAGATAAGTAAAAAAAAGAGTTGTACGGTTGTATTTGACAAGAATGTATTCAGTAATTATAATTTTATGTATGATAATTCATATAACCACGAAAGTTCTAGCAGGACTTTAAAGTAATATGCACTGCGCTTGCGCAGCAGATGACAAAGACAATGCAACGTGTTATTTTACTCGTTTTACTATGCCATAACCACTCATAACATTACCATTATTGCAAATATTTTTATCAAATATCGTGTTGTAAATTCCTTTTTTATACAGTATTTTCACCAGACTGGCCGCTTTGATCGATTTTCTTATCTCCTCTAAACCAACTCATATGGCAAATAGGATGTCCAGAGCAAGACTCATTACTCATGTTCGTACCTTCCATTTAAAACTCTGCAATCTACCTTTCAATCATTAAGTGTACAAGAGCAGAGTCTTTTAATGTTCCGTGATATTCTTCCTTTATTTCTTTAGGCGTTGAAACTATAAAACGTAAGCATTTAATCACTGCTCGTTTTTCTAAGTCTTTTATTCATAAGAAAACTTTTAAATTGTCTACACGGACAACGATTTGGCACTGAAACAGCCTATGTAATTAAAGTATTTGAATTTAACCACATCTTTAAGATATAACAGCCCTGAGCTCGGCTTTTTACAGTCAGAAGATTACACTGTGTACGTTTAACATATCATTGAACAGTGACGTGTCAATCGCTGGCGCCACCAAACTCTTACGGTAGGCTCTCTAAAGTTCAGTGGTGGCACTGAACGTTCAGAAGCCAAAGAGGGGGAGCGCTCGAGCTTGAGTCATGGGACCATTTTGGCACGTTGGAAGGGCTCGGCTTCTTTGTATATATAGGTATACTTTAAACATTAAATCTTACACCGTTTTTTCTATACCTATAAAGCTTGTCGTTGACTCAGATGGTTAGAATGCTAGCCATTGAGACAACATAGATTATAATAAGGGGTCGTGGGTTCGATTCCCGGTCAGGGCACTCAAATTTTTTCTGATTGTTCCGCTTGGATACCAAATCCATGACACAGACCTAGCATAAGGCTTAAATTTGAAAATTAATATTGATAATCATATACTTGCCTTATAAATTTACACAATTAAATAGCTCTATACATATCTGCATAAAAAATTTGTAATAGTGCGATCATAACGTATGCTCATATATTTATTCACGTCGTATTTTCCAGTTAAGTTTACTTAGTGTACGAAAACAGTCATGCTTATAAGTATAAATTAAAACAGTAGCAAATTCTCGATGCCCAAAGTGTACCTATCCAATGTGCCGAAATAGTCGCATGACTCGAGCTCGAGCACTCCCCCTCTTTGGCTTCTGTACGTTCAGTGCTGCCACTAAACTGTAGAGAGCTTACCGTAAGAGTTTGGTGGTGCCAACGATTGACACGTCGCTGTTCAATGCTATA